AATATTAAGGTATAATCCATTTAAATTTCATGCAATTTTATTTATTTGTTCAAATTTTATAAAAAAAAAACTCTAATTTAACTTTTTTCTATTAAACCAAAATTAGTTTATTTATTTTATTTTTTTTGCTTTTAATATTTTGTAGGTTCTTCTTTAATCACAATACAGGTGATAATCTGATTTGATATGCTTTTAATAAAATTATAACAATATTCGGATAATATCTCCTGCCCACCTGTCATACAAGAACATCAAGATCATCAAGATTATTCAGTTTTGCTTATGACATATGGATTTCTTAACTTTATTCCAAAGGTTCTCTATCAGGTTCAGATCTGAACTCTGTGAAGGCCAGTTCATTATTCTAATATTTTTATTTTTCATGAATTCCTTTACAATTTTAGCAGTGTGTGGTCTCGTATTGTTCTAGTATGTAATCCTACTGAAATAGTGGACAACTACGATTCTTATTTCTTGGAAATTTTTTTATAGCAGGTAAGACATTCTTACAAAGAATTTCGACATGTAAAGCACTGATAACAGAGGACTTTAACAGAATAAGGGGTCCAACTTCATACCAGAAGAAGCAACCCCAATACATATGACCAGGGCTACGTTTAATAATGCAACTTAAACACTCAATATCCCATTCCTCGTGTGATTCACACCAAATCCAACAAGAACATTCTTGAAAAAGATGAATTGTGGTCTCATCCGATCACAAAACACGTTGAAAGTATCAAACGGACCAGTTTTTATAGGCAAGAGACTAGTTAAGTTTTTTGATTGCATTTTCTGAAGAGACCAATAGCTTAGAATGAGCAATACAGGAATTTAAACCTTTTTCATGCAATGCATGACAGATAATACATTTTGAGACACTAATTCCTTTCTGAGCAATAAAAAGATTAGTAATCTAAGAAAGGTTTAAACAGAAATTTTTGTTAATAACTAGATTCTTAAGTTTAGAATAGTCGGAAAGAGTAAGCAATTTTGGATGTTTCGAGTGTTTATTTTTTTTTCATAATTCTATAGTACCTGTCTCGTGAAACTCTTTAATAATATTTCCTATAACAGATTTTTCACAACTTACCAGAGCTACAAAAGTATAAAGTGAATCCTTTCTAAGGTATCCAAAAATAATGGCATCTCTTTATTCAGCCATCGGATCTTTATTGCTACCCATTGCTCTAAAAAAAAAAAGAATGGCATCGTCAATTTTGCACTTATATACTTATTCATTATTTATTTGATATGATTTTAAATGTGATTTTATTAAATAAAATTATAAACAATAACAGTATAAAAATAAATAAATAAAAAAAACTCTTATCTATTTGGCACTGATTTTTTGAAAATTTCCTTTTTAGAAAATATTCTCTCAAGAAACGTTTTCCTCTCTTTATTTTCTAAAGCAAATAAGCTTTAAATCCAAAGGACATAAAGACTTCAAGGAATACTGTTGCATTGGGATGGGACCTCTGGTCAAGACCTAAGCAAGTTGGGAGTCTTTCTTAGCTCTTGGTTGCATGGAAAAAGGCCTGTGGCAACCTTCCTTCATAATTTTTTGTCTTTAGGTATCTTCCTCTTTATGATCATGATAACCATTTTCCTCTTTTACCTTTCAATCTCTATAACACAAATTCAATTCTAACAACACATTCAAACAAAGTTACTGGATCTAATGTTTGTCTTAACACAACCTTTGAAAATTTATTATTTCTCTTTTCTATCTCAAAACAATACCACGTATTACTTCTTCACTATTCTATAATTTTTCAAACCCACTTAAAAACCGTAATCAGTTTCACCCCATACAAAGATCTACACTCAACAAATGACCAATAAAACATCTTCACTCCATAATAACAACACCAAACCTGTTTAAACTTGCTTATAACCAGTTTCTTATCAAGAAATTCCCACATCAACAATATTTTCTTTATCAAAATACTTACATATTAACAATAACAACAACAACAATTACAATTGATTGACACATACTGGATTGGGAGAGTGCATGACTGTGCCCTGCATGGGTTCCAATAATCTCTAACTAAAAAAGCATCAAAATAATACAACAAGATTGGAGCAGGCTCCATACCTGACTTATTACTATCTCAACTATACCACTAACCTACAAACCATACAACTTTTCACAATTATCATTAACAATGGAGTTGCGACCCACGAGCAGTAATGCTATCGTTAAAGAAAAAAGGTAGCCTAAGCCTAACCAATGTGAATGAAAGTAAATATTTTTATTGTGAGTGGAAGTGAAATACTAGGGAGTTGTGCTCCATAATCTGGCAGCTTAAGCCAGTGCTCCTTTACTGCTGGAGTCGTGCCCAGCTATTAAAAAGAAAGCAGTAACCTAGATAGACACATTTGGTTTGTGTCCTGCGAGAGGGATTGTTAACACAAAAGATAATTGCATTCAAATTCAATATTTACTATTACCACCTTAACAATTTTCTATTTCTAATTCCTTAACTATATGTAGCTTTCAAGGAGTGATTAACCCTGACTTCAAATTAACGTATATAGCAACTTCACATTAAAAACTACCAACCTCCAACTTTCAACATCTCCACATTCCTTTACTTACATTATGACGATCTTGCCCCTCAAATTTTTATATAGATAATTTACTTTGTTCTTATACATAGATAGTTCCTTTCTTAACTTTTTCCCTGTTCAAGAGTTTTTTTATTAAAAATATATCTATCATAATAGATGGTAGACTAATATGTACATAGTTTACTTTATTCATATATCTCATATCTTAAAAATTAACCATGTAATAATAATAATTACATATTAATAAAGATCATAAGACATGTCTTACCTTAACAGTAAAAAAAAAAATAATAATAAATAAATAATAAATAAAATAAATAATAAAAAAAAATAATAATAATAATAATAATAATAATAAAATCTAATTTTGATCTTCAATTTAAAAGAAAAAAATTAAGTTGAAATTTTTTTAACATAAAATTTGAATAAATAAATAAAATTGCATGGAATTTAAATGGATTATATCTTAATATTATATAAATGTATCATTAAATTTTTAAAATTTATTTATTAATAAAATTTTTTATTATTTAAAAAATAAAAGTGTCCACAGTAATATGATAGGCATCTGTAGAATAATACATATAAAAAATAATTACTTTATTCTTTGCATATGTTATCTTTATTTGTAATAAGCTATAATTAATCTACTTACTTTGTATATGAGATTGTTAATGTAATAATGAATAAATAAAAGTTTAACAGAAGTCTCACATTTAATACCCATTAGCAAAAATAAATAATTATCTTATTTAAAAAATTTTAAATCATTTTGTGAATGAGTTTTTCAAGTATAATAAAGCAAAGTTGAACAAATATTAAAAAAAGGTTATAAATTAATATTTTTAATTTATAATTACTAAATTGTTTGATAATTCTATTCATTGTTGTTTTAATACAGTAAATAAGTAAATAATGATTTGAAAAGGATATCAAATTTTAACATTTAACTTATTGTATACAAATCAAATAAAGAAATAATGTTTACCTACAAAAAACAAAAAAGGATATCAAATTTTATTTTGATTATTAATCTTAATATTTTTAAATAAGACAATAAATCAAACAGCATAATATTATTAGTAACTATAATTAACACGTTCGTTTCTTATCTTTGCTGCTAGTTATTGAGACAGTTTAAAAGTTTAAAATGTCTCACCAAGTTGTACATTGTCGTGATGTGACAATGCCGCGTACAGCGGTCGTCCCTTACCATCTTATAACAGTACCTATTAGTGAGATAACTAATTACCACAGAACAAAAAGTTAATTTATATTAATTTTTTCAAATTTCTTTTCTTTTATTTAATTTCAATAGAAGTTTTTTACATGAAAAAATAAACGAATATGTATAATCTATAGGTGCGCTCTTGTCAATCAATTCAATATCATATTTTCTATAAAGTAAGGTAAGCAATATTTTAAGTTTTACCATAACCAAGTTTCTATAAAAACATTAGAAAGTTAGTTTTTTTATAACTTTGCGGGAAAGAAATAAAACAGATATTTATTTACCTTCCCGGGCAAATCCTACATCCACCACCGAAAGGAACAAAAAATTTTTTCTGGATTTTTTCTGTATCTTTGAGAAACCGGTCCGGGTTAAACTTGTGGGGTTCTTCCCAAACGTTTTTATTATGCATTAGACTGTATTGAGATATAAAAAATAGTTGCCCTGCCGGCCAATTATATCCTAATAATGTGTCTGGATTTGCGAGTGATCGCGGAACTAGAGGAGCAACAGGAAATATACGTAATGATTCTTTAATTGCTGCTTCCATATAGACAAGTTTTTCTAGATCATTAGATGTAATAGGCCGAGTCATATCGTTAGCAAAGATAGAATCAATTTCCTCTAATAAACGTTCTTTGCATTGGGGATTTTGGGAAATGTGATATATGAAATAACACAAGGAATTTCCTGTCTGATAAAATAAAATTTATATGTATTAATATTCATGAAGGACATGCATTTACTTGAAATAATGTATAAATACCGAGTTGGTAAGTGAGATATCCATAATATTGTCGCGTATTTCTTCATCTTTCATTGGTTCATCATCTTCAACAGGTTCGTCATGGTCTCTTATATTCATGGTTAATAACATATCCAATAGTCCGTCTCCACCCGCTTGGCCTTCGGGAAGGTTTTCTAATTGCTCACGACGTTTTATAACCTTCTCTAGAACTTCGTCTTCTAAGCGTCTAGCATTATCGAGATAATCCCTGTTTATTGAACTTAAGAAAGGAATGTTGTATCGTAGAAATCGAGGTACAGCTACAAAGAATATAAGGGACTTGAACCATTTTCTCTGGCTTTGAAGGAATTCATATGATTCTTTCATTTCTGGTGTATATTCAGACTTCGATGTGCTACATGACAATGGATACACGGCTGGACTCCCAGTTAAAATCGAAGATAAGATGTCTGTCGTAAAACATCTAATCCAATAGGCAAAGTCAATTACCATTCCAGATGTCCAATTACGTTCTGCTTTATTAAATAAGTCTTGTGTGATATCGGCGAATTCATGCAAGAATTTTGGTGACAGTAAAGTGTGAGAAACGAATTTCCGGTTTCGACTCCAAGATTTTTGATCATTATTAAGTATAAGACCATTATGCGTTCTTAACTCAGAAAGCCCATTCAATGCCGGTCGAATAGTAAAATTGTTTTTTGAAGATGAGTTATAAACTTTATCTAAAGCTTTAGGGTCACCTGTAATTATAGCACGTACAGATCCTAAATATATTTCAAAGGTTTCCCCATATTTTTTGCGAAGAGGAAAAAAAGACCACGTGCCAATATCGATATCGCCTATCTTATGAAATGCTATTTGATGAAGATTTCCAATGATCGGAAGTGGAAGAGGACCCGGTAAAGGATTTTTACGTGTATAGTAATTATAATAATATTTTGCTACATAAAGAACCAGAAAGATCAGAGTTGCGGAAATCCAGTCGAAGCCCGAAGTAAATACGATTGAATTTAACATATTTAATTTTTCTAAAGAAAAAAAAGAGAGAAGAAAAAGCTTCGATATTTATAACAAATAAAACCGTTATTACTAACGCAAAGCATACTATATAACCGTTTTGTATAGTAATTATCTAAATTCGAACAAATTTTGGATATCGTCATATTATCCGAGCTCAAATGGACAGTATCTATAATTTTACCAGCATACAAATCAAAATTTTAACTATAATTTACTAGCAATAGCAAAGTATAAATTGCTATTTTAGGACGCAGAAATGTTCCATGTGTCGCTCATACAGCACCTTACCGCGCTTGTGCATCACATTGTATGTACCAAGGTGTTCTTATATTTCGGGAATTTACTGAATTCATTGAAAGCACATATGCACGAGTTACGTAGGGAGAACGATATAAACCAAAATTTAACTATAATTTACCAGCCATACAAATTAAATTTTATCTTACATTAGAATGTGATACAGTATAATGCATTCAAATTAGTGACTCAATGGAGAAGAGAGTACATTGTTATCATTCGGTCCAGTCCGGTTTTAATTCAGTTTTAAGCAAAGATCGGCTTAAACCGGTTTAATATTATTATTATTATTTTTTTTTTTTTTAGAGGCAAAGTGCATTACATGCGAACTTTACCGGTTTAATATTATTACATAAACTATTCGCAATTTTGTTTAACCAAAGGTTTTAACCAACAATCTTTACATAAAGTAAGCTAATTGTATCCTATTGCAATATAATTAATAGTACCAATTTAACTTTTTTTATCAGAAATAAAATTAAAATGTATATTAATAATCTTTCTAAACTACAATAATAATATTTTTCTAATTTTTTTTCTTTAATTAAACCTTTTTAAGTATAAAATAACATAAGCTTGATTTGATTTTGTGTTTTATTAATTGTGTATTCTATTATTAAAATATTTCTTTATTTGAGTTGCCTGTATCTAAATAGTGTAACGGGCAAATGGCAAGTCTGTCACTAATGCCAACAGAAATCTATATAATTGTTATTAAAATTAAAAATAAAAAAAAATATTGATTTTTAGATATACAATCTGACCAAGTTCTTATCACTTTTCATACACTACTTTATTAATAAAATTGACTCACCTATTTATACATTTTTTATTATTACATAAATTAAAGTGACTATATTAAATACGAAATAATATACTTTTGACATAATTATATAATAATTATAGAAAAAATTTTATAATATTATTATCATTACTTACAGTTATTATATTGATCAGTTATTACAAAGATGAATCTTGAGCTACCTAGTATGTAATAATACAGTATCCTTGTTTATTATATGGCATGTATCCCTTAAATTGTAATGCAGGCAAATTTACCTGCATATTTAAAATTTTAATAAGTTTTTAAAAAATTTTAATAAAATTTTAAATATTGATTTTTATAACTTACTTATATTATAAAAAATATAGTTTAAGATATTCTCTATTAACTTTATTAAGTAAAAAATTAAGATTTTATTGGAAATTTTCAAAATAAATAACTTTAAACTTTATGTTTAAAATTTTAATATAAAAAATTATATAAAATTTAATATATATTTAAAGTAAAAAAAATTACTTTACTTTTAATACAAGTTAGTTTTTTATAATTAAACCATTAAAATTGTAATAATTAAAGTTATTCTTTGCAAATAATTCTACAAAACTGATTATAATT